CATCTGCCACCCTCGCCCCCCCTGGCAGGCACTGAGGCCTGTGACTCAGCGGCCAGCCCAAGCTGCTCTGTGGGTGGCCACTCCGGAACCTCAGTGGGGAGGGAGGTGCTGGGGGGGGGGGCAGCCAGCAGCACGTGCAGACCCCAGGTGGCCTTCCTCCCTTCCTGCAGGCACGGGAGCCTGACAGCACTGCCTTCATCCGGTTCTGAAAGCGGAGGCCCCAGCAGAGGTGCTGCCTCATATATAATAGCCTCATTGAAATGCACCTAATTCGTTCCCTTTTCTCTCCAGGTTCTACCACCTGTTCTCCAGGCCCTGACCCCAGGCCAGACTGGGACCAGTTCAGCTTGCTGTTTCCCGTGCCCTCCCCAGCCCCTGGCAGACCCTCGCCGTGGCATCTTCACGTCCCCATGCCCTCGCGTGGATAAAGTCCCTATGGTTCCCCTGCAGACTTTGAGTGAGGGGCTTGACCCCAAGTGCCTCCCCCAAAGGTGCAGAAGAAAAGATGAGACTGCAGGTGTCACCTTGGGGAAGGGAGAGAGTGAGGGCGGAGGATGTCACACACAGTCCCCCCCCCCCCCCCCCCCGCCGCCAGTAGCAGGGCAAGTGGCCCCCACCCCCAGCGGCATCTCAGGATCCTGTCTGAATCAGCTGCTCTTTGCACCTGTTGCTTTCCCTCAAGGTGGCTTGGCCCCTGGCACTTGGCTCTCAAGGAAAAACCTGCAGCCAGGCCTGTCCCACAACAGGAAGATCAGGATTTTGAAGCCAGGCCCCCACCCCCGAGGGAAGGAGGAGGCCCTGCTGGGAGCCTGTTTGTGTGGAACTGTGTCCTCTGCTCCCGCTGGGTCACCTTCCAGAAGCCACACCTCCTCCAAGCCTCTCCAGCTGGACGGGAGATGTAGCTCCACCACCAGCCTCAGAGCTGAAGGGAGGTCATGGGGGCGGCCTGGTTCGCTCCCTTCCCTGACAGCCCAAGACGGGGTCCCGATCAGATTGTCCCACGAAGCCAGGCAGTGGGCCCCACTTCTTCCACCCGGGTCTCTCTAACAGAAGCCGTGGCATCCTTTCATTTCTTAGCAGTTGTTTTGCTACTGATAACCACAGGGAAACAGGCCAGGCCTCACAAAAATGCAGAATCCTGGGGGGGTCGGGGAAACCTTAAAAATGTAGGAGGAGGAGCCCAACTGAGTTTGAATCCCAGGTCTGTAACCATGTGATACCCTGAACCAGACGCCCTCCTGTGCCTCAGTTTCCCCAATTCTGAGAAGGAAACCAAAAGTAAAACGAAAGTCTCTGCCCCAGAGGACTGCTGGCAAGGTTAAATGAGGCAGAGAATTTTCTTTTTAAGATTTATTTATTTGGGAGGCAGAATGACAGAGAGTGGGAGAGAGAGACAGAGAGAGAGGGAGAGATCTTCAATCCCCGGTTCACTCCCCAGATGGCCACAACAGCCAAGGCTGGGCCAGGCTGAAGCCAGGAGCCAGGAACTCCAACCAGGTCTTCCACACGGTGGCAGGGGCCCAAGCACTTGAGCCATCTTCTGATGCCTTCCCACACACATTAGCAGGGAGCTGGATCAGAAGCGGGTTTGCTCAACCCACTGCACCACAATGCAGTCCCCAAGCAAACTGTGCAAATGCACTCTGAGATTGTCTGGTTCATCCCTTTACACATGCAGGTGCAGTCCAGAAACAGTAACCATTAATAACAACCATGGCGAACACCCATTTACACTTCCTGTGTGGACACAGTGAGTGTGAGGTGCCTGTACAAACCTCCCTGAAGTCTGTTCTTTTACCCAGTCTTTCTTTCCACACCCTTTTCCAAGTTCAGCTCCTCCAGAGGCACCCCTCCCCCACACTCACCCCTCCCCCAACAAGCCTCAGGCAGTTTCCCAGGTCAATCCTCTCTCCAGGGAGAGTTTCCCAGGAATCTGTGCTACTTCCCAGAGCAGGAAGGTGGGCAGAGAACGGCCCAGCTGGATAACCCGAGGGAGTGTTTCTACATAGCTTCTTTAGAAAGAGATTTCCAGAAAAAAAAAAAAAAAAAAAAGAAAGAAAGAAAAAGAAAATGCTCCCTGCATTGCCCATGCCACAGCTGTAGCAGGAGGCCACATAGCAAGAGAGCTGCAGAGTCCATGAACACAGAGCACCTGTGACACGCCACTGTCCCTAGCCCGTGTTTGGTGGCTGGTAACACAGTATTATAGACTGTGGAAGTTACAAACAGAGGAGGTGTGTTTGTGCTCATGGATCTGGTCCAAGGTCAAGGGGCCAGAACTGGTGATGGCCTCCCTGCCATACAGTCCCTTGACAGGGCAGGCATCACGTGCCATGAGACAGTCTGTATGTGTACATGTGTGTCCCCTGATCACTCTCCCTCTTCAGCTAAAGCCACGAGAATCCACTCAGGGAGACTTCTCCCCAAAACCTTTCCTAATCTGAATGACCTTCCAAAGGCCCCACCTCTAAAATGCACAGTCTGATGAATTATCTACCCTCCTACAACCTCACAATGGCGCTAAAATTTCAACATGAAATTTTAAAATTTTGAAACTCACACTAACCACAGCAGCCGAAGGTTGCGTTCGTTCACTTCGTGAACACCCCTGGTGCTGACATCTGCTGCGGGCGCTGTCCAGAGTCCCCGGGACAAAGGCTGATCAGTTGCAACAAGGCCATGTGCTCGTGGCAGTGACATCTCTGCTGAGGGATCAGAACCCACACAAGTCAACAAGGCAATTGCGGAGACTGACAAAACTACGCAGAAAATCAGTCTGGGTGGTGTGGGACAGAGTGATGGAGGGACTTAGAGGAGGGGGCATCCACTTAGGAGACCTCTGTGAATGAGGGGATGCAGCTGTGTGAAGGGCGGGGGAGAGGCACCCAGCTAGAGGGGGCAGCAAATGCAAAAGCCCTGAGGCAGGAATGTGCTCTGGCTCTTTAAGGAACAAGCAGAGTGCAGGTATGGCTGGAGCGGAGCGAAGGCAGGAAGAGTTTGCATTTTATTCTAATGACACTGGGCTAGAAGGGCTTTAAGTGAGAGAGTGACAGTTACGAACTTTTTAAAAATATTTTTTTAAAGGTTTATTTGGGAGGCAGAGGGAGAGACAGAGAGTGAGTGAGTGAGAGATCTTCCATCTGCTTGTTCACTCCCAAAATGCCTACAATAGCCAGGGCTGGGCCAGGCTGAAGCCAGAAGCCAGGAACTCTAACTGGGTCTCTCACATGGGTGGCAGTACTTGGACTCTCCACCTGCTGCCTTCCACGTACATTAGCAGAAAGCTGGATCAGAAGCAGAGGAGCTACTGTGGGACACAGAAGTCCCAAGAAGCAGTTTAACCTGCTGCGCTGCAGTGTGGAGCCCTATGACTTGTCTATTAAAAAGATCTCAGGTGGCCACGTAAAGAATAGATGCAAGGAGCAAGCAGTCATAAGGAAGCCACGGCAGCCTAGATCACTAGGCCAACTGTGGGGACCAGGGAGGCCGAAGGAAAAGACCTTGATTTTAACGCACATGAAGCAGTTAGCACCGTGCTAATGAGTGGGGGCCCTGAGTTGGAGGTAGTGGGGGCAACATGTGTGGCTGGGTGACTGGGACAGGGTTGGAGCTGTTGCCTTTCCCGGGCCTGAGGCTACAGCAGTCCTGGGAAGGCAGCACGGATGGGCAAACTCCAGGGAGCCCGGGTGTTTCTTCGGTTATAGGCATAGTGTCTTTCCCTTCTTAGTCATTGTCAGAACCACTACCCATGAAGTGTTCCAGAAATCATAAGCAAAGGGTAATTAAAATAGAGATATCTTACATCATTTTTTCTTTTTCAAATTTTTATTTAAATTGCACATACATATGAGAAAAATGTCAGCGTATGAGAGCACACCATGGAAAACAACTCTCCCTCCTCCTCCGTGCCCCTCCCTGGAAAAAAATTCTCTGTTTTCTGTTTGTTTTTAATTTTCCCAGAAATATTCTCAGCATGTCCCTCCCTGCCACCCACATTCCATATCCTATTTTTAAACATAAGGATAAAGTAGTACATAGACTGTTTTGTACCCCTCTTTCACACACAAAAAAAACTATTTTAAAGACCATTTTGTATAAGTCCAGGGTCAAAGTCTCATTCTTTTTATTGGTGTAAGGGGTTAAGTAGGATTTGTCTCCCCTAAACTCATTCAGCTGTTTAAACTCTGATGTTGTAACATTAATGTCCATTGATAAGGGTGGAGACGGTCTACTGATGGCATCTGAGAAGCGGGGCCGGTGGAAGGTCTTTGGGTCATTGGGGGTGTCCCCTCAATGGTGCTTCTCGCCAGAGGTTTGAGTATTTGAGTTCAAGTTCTGCCTAACGGTTCTCTCCCTCCTTCCCGGCTCATCATGTGAGCGTGCCTCTGCACCTGCTCCAAAGATGGCCCCGTAGGTGACCTCCAACTATGAGCTGAAATAAACCTTTTCTCCCCAAAGAAGCTCCTCTCAGCTGTTTTAGTTGCAGTAATGAAAAGTGGGCTGATACAAGAGGCTACATAGTTCATCCTTGTATGGCTATTGTCCTCACATAGAAAGATGGGCATTTTGTTGCTTCCGGGTTTCAGCTACTATAAACAGTGTTGCAACTAATATCCCATACGGAGGGCATTGGTATTTCCACTGAATAAATTCCTAGGAGTAGAATTTCTGCCTCGAAGAATAATTTCTCTTTTGATAAATATTGACAAATTGCTCTTTGGGAAAGTTGGGCCGATTCCCTCCCTCCCCCAGTCCCAGCTGACCCTGAGGGTAACTCTGTCACAAGAGCAGGGGCAGAGTGAACAGTCACCTCTGCAGAGACCTGGGCTCTGGCAGTCAAGAGGGTGAAGCAGGCAGATGGGTTAGAAGCCAAGAGACAGGGCAACGGCAGGTGTGTAAACCCACTCCAGCAGGACCAGGGCCATGGCACTGTGTCCCCCACACCCCTGCCAGGGCCAGCCTGAAGCCTGGATGTGGGTGTCAACAAACCACAGTGGGCCGATGGGAAGTAGGTCACCTGCTAGAGGAGCAGGGAGTTTGGGAACAGAGATAAGCATGCATGCCAACTTCCAGCCTATAGCCCTGAGTTTCCTTTCTTTCCACCCTAAATAGGTTGGTAGCTGCAAAGCAGGAAAAGGCTGATCCATTAAAGAAGAGAGAGAGCGAGAGCGAGATTCCTGTCAATAAACCACAGTAGCCAGAGGAACCCAAGTTTAGCATCACTCGCTCAGCCTGTTCGGGAGCCTCTAATGGACTCCACTTCCGTGAACGCAAAGGTAATGGAATCAGTTTCAGCAAAAACAATGCTCTAAATAAAGAAATGTAATCGGAGCTGCTGACCTTCTTGCAGGCCTTGGACTTGGAAAGAAGTGAGGAATGTGCACTTTGAGTGTGTGTGTGTGTGTGTGTGTGTGTGATTATGAACTTCAGGTGTGGCTGAAAACAGACAGTTCTGTCATGTGGCTAGGACTTGACTATTAAAAGGCGGGCCTCCCAGGCTTAGGGCAGCCACCTGAAAAGTCCTCCCCCACCAACAATGCTCCAAAGTAGGCAGGGTCAGGTGTGTGTTCCCCAGAGCAGGAACATGGCACAAGGCTGTGTCCATACAGAGAGGGTTTCCAAGCACTGAGGGCCAGGGTCAAGGAGCCCTGAAGGCCCCCAAGGGTTGCTGGAGTACTGACTCAGAGAGGTGCAGTCTGTGGCCAGCATGGATGACCCAGGGCGCTAGGTTGTCAGCTGTTGTCTTGCCGGATGGAGACGGTCTCTGCTTACTCTCCAACCTGCTGTGTCCTTGGCGCCGCCTACCCATGCATCCCACTGCCTCCATCAGTCAGGCAGCAAACGTTGTTTTTAAGCCCAGTACAAATTCAAGAGACTGTACCAGGCACTATGAGCAGACACAAAGCACATGTAGTGAGATGTTGGCCAGGGGACTTTTCACAAAGTGGTGAGAGTTAAGTGGCCATGATGGCTTTAGAAAGCTTAAAAAATTGTTTATTTATTTGAGAGACAGAGCAGTAGAGAGAGAGAGAGCGAGCACTCCCATCTGCTGGTTTGTTCCCCAAATGACTGCAACAGTCAGGACTGGGCCAGGATGAAGCTGGGAGCTGGGCAGCCACTCCAAGTCCTCCCATACGTGGCAGGAACCTAATGACCTAAGCCGTCGCAGGTGGGGAGTGTCAGTGGGAAGCTGGAACCGAGAGAAGCAAACCCAGGCACTCTGACACTGGTACTGGTGTCCTAACCACTAGGTCTAATGCTTGCCCTGCTTATAATTTACTTACTCAGTACTTTTGCTTGAACAAGGTTGAACTTGGAGCCCAAACACCTACAGACATTCATAGGATTCTTGTGTTGAAAAAGTATTGTGCAGTCGGCGCTGAGGCTCACTAGGCTAATCCTCCGCCTTGTGGCGCTGGCGCACTGGGTCCTAGTCCCGGTCGGGGTGCCGGATTCTGTCCCGGTTGCCCCTCTTCCAGGCCAGCTCTCTGCTGTGGCCTGGGAATGCAGTGGAGGATGTCCCAAGTGCTTGGGCCCTGCACCCCATGGGAGACCAGGAGAAACACCTGGCTCCTGCCTTCGGATCAGCGCGGTGCGCAGGCCACAGAGCGCCGGCTGCGGCGGCCATTGGAGGGTGAACCAATGGCAAAAGGAAGACCTTTCTCTCTGTCTCTCTGTCTCACTATCCACTCTGCCTGTCAAAAAAAAAAAAAAAAAGAAAAGAAAAAGAAAAAGTATTGTAGCATACAAAAATGCCTCTCTGTATCTGTGTGCATCTGCTTCCCAGATAAAATAAATAAGCAAGTAACTACTTAACAAACTAGTGAATACATATAGCTCATTAATTGAGGTGGGCCTGATATCCAGGACTCTTAAAAACTCAAATAAAGGGGGCCAGCGCTGTGGTGCAGTGGGCTAATGCCCTGGCCTGCAGTGCTGGCATCCCATATGGGTGCCGGTTTGAGACCTGGCTGCTCCACTTCCCATCCAGCTCTCTGCTATGGCCTAGGAAAGCAGCAGAAGATGGCCCAAGTCCTTGGGCCCCTGCACCCACGTGGGAGACCCGGAAGAAGCTCCTGGCTCCTGGCTTCAGATTGGCACAGCTTGGGCCATTGTGGCCATCTGGGGAGTGAACCAGCAGATGGAAGTCCTCTCTCTCTCTCTCTCGCTCTCTCTCTGCCTCTCCTCTCTCTCCTCTCCTCTCCTTTGTGTAACTCTGACTTTCAAATACATAAATAAATCTTAAAAAAAAAAAAAAACCAAATCAGGGGCAGGCACTGTGGCATAGTGGATAAAGCAGCCGCCTGCAGAGCCAGCATCCCATATGGGCATTGGTTCCAGTGCAGGCAGGAACTCCTGGGGCTTCTCGGGGCATGGTTTGTGGATTCTCAGCAATAAACAAAGAGATGCTGCTTTAGAAGAAAAAAAAAAAAAGCAGATTCTTAACCAGCCCCGCCTGGCCGGGTCAGAATCTCCGCAGTGAGTCCTCAAGTCTGCATTTCTCTCCAGATGAATGACTGGTGCCACCTCACACAGCAGTTGGTGGAGGACGAAGCACATCCAGACAGCTGGGCCCAGAGTCCCTGCTCCTTTAACACAACAGAGCCCCGCATTTATCTCAAGCCCACAGTGTCTGCGCCCCTGGGGGACTCTGCTGCAATTCATCCTCTGTGATTTCTCTTTGCGACCTTCCAACAAGTGAATCTGTCATCTGTCTGGTGGACTAAGTGGCTTCAAGCAACACAAATGCCTCGCGTGACAGTTCTGGAGGTCAGGGTCCACAGTGAGTGTCACGGGCAGAAAGCACCATGCCAGCAGGACTGCAGCCCTTCCGGAGGCTGGGGAGGGGAAGCTGCTGCCTTCCCTTTCCCAGCGCCTAGGGGATGTCTGCGTCCTTTGACTCCGTCTGCTGAAATCAACAGTGGACTGATCTTTCCACACTGAGTCCCCCTGACTCTCAGGATTCCCCCTCTTGTTGTTTTCAAGGCCCCTTGTTTTTATACTGGGACCTCCAGGATAATCCAGGAGAGTTTCTGCATCTCCAAATTCCTAATTATATCTGCAAAGTCCCCGTTGCCAGGTAAGGTCACCTATTCTCAGGTGCCACCTGCAAGCGACCATCATTCACTGATGAGAGTGCACCACAACTCTTGATTTTGCCTCCTACACCCTCATCTTCCTCTGTCTTCCCCACCCCTGTTCTAGACCTCAAACCTGGGGGTCCTTCTTGATTCCTCTTTCCCACCCCTGCCATACTCAGTGCCTCTGAATGTCTTCTCTGACCACCTCTCTCGACTTCTTCTACAGCCCTTGTCCAAGCCACCATCATCCCTCACCCGAACCATGGCAGTCCCCTCCTAACTGGTCTTAAAACCTACCAAGTGCTTCCCGCCTTGGTTGGAATCCAGTCTCATCTCTTCACCATGGTCTGCCAGGAAAGCCCCACATCATCTGGCTTTGCCAGCACCTCCCAGTTTGTCTCCTACTTCTCTCTAAATTCCAGCCGTGCGTTCTCAAACCTTCTACATTGGCTCTGGCAGCAGGCTCTGGAAGGCTCCTTCTGTTGATCACTCTACCATCAGTTCAAAAGATGTGTCCTCAGAAGGCCTCTCTGACCCCCACTACTAAGTACCCTCCTCCCTCATGCAGCATGACCCTCACCAGGAAGCTGGGTCACCAAGAGCTTATTTGTGCCTTGTCTGTCTCCCCTAACTAGAAGGAAGCTCCAAGACAGCAGGGAGCTCATTTACCTTACTACTGAATTCTCAGTCCCTGAACCAAAGCCAGGCACATAGTAGGTGTTCAATAAATTCAATATAAGTGAATATGATTTAGAGGGGCAGCAAAATGACAGTGCTCTGTTTATGTCCATGGAAGTCTGGAATCTGAATGCTTACCCCGAGCTCCCCTTGAATTCACTGAGCCTCCTCTGCAGAGTGCTCAGAGGGAGAAGCCGGCCTTGTTGCTCCGGGAGGTCATGACCCAGCAGAGAGGAACACGCCAAAAGAGAGGACGAACTGAGAACTCAGATGCAAGGCCTTTCTGGTAAGCTCTGGTAAGCTCCACAGAGCAGGGCTCTCAGAACCCTGGGAGCTCACAAAGGGCTGAGCTCCCTTCTGAAACAGGGGATGTATCGTTTACAGGAGCTGAGAATCTGTAGGCTGGGGAGAAAGGCCCAAGAGCGCTTCATGGCTCCTTCTGAGAGGCAATCTTAGTTAATGCAAGAATGTTCTGAGGAATACTTGTCCAAGCAGGCTAGGATCCACCTTTGCCCTGAGTCCTTTGCAGTTCAAGTGTTGGGATGCAGGAGGTGTGGGAGGGACAAGCAACAGTATGGACCCCAGGGCATCAGAAAGGAGGCAGTGCTGAGCTGCTTAGGAACTTGGGTTTGGGTCAGACAAGCCTACATCAGAGCCCAGCTCTGCCACTGACTGCTGGGCCTTTAGGCAGATAAGACATGTAAAGCACTCAACACAGAGCCGGCACTCAGGAAGTGCTGAGTATAAGGGAGCTATTATGATTCAAATAGATTGATGGCCTACTGGATCCTCTTTGTGTTTCTGTGATTCTGGGGGTTGGAGGGAGCTCTGTGTGACCAGAAAAGAGTTGAAGCTATCCCAGACCATCCGCAAGGCCAGTTTATTTCCAGGTGGGATTCCTGGGAGACTGTGAGGCAGAGTGTGGGGTGGTGGTGGGACTCAGAAACCACTGTCTAACAAGCTCCCCAGTGATATTTAGGCCACTCGGGATGGAGAACCTCTGTGTTCAGCACAGCCACGCTCAGCAAACTTGACCTCCCGGTTTTGGCCTTACAAGGCTGCAGCGTCGGGATGCCTTTCCCTCAGAAGCACCACGTGAGGATGCCTGAACACTGCCTTCACTTTCCTAAGCCGACTCTGGAACAGGCAGTCAGAGAAACACCTGTTTTGCAGATCCCTGGGAGCTATGTGAATTACAGATTCCTGGACTGGATCCAGAACTTCTGAATAGAAGTCTGTAAGGATGCGGTCCAAATATGTAGAGTGAAGCTACCACGAATGCTGGCTCACCCTGCCCTCTGCCAGGGGTGCCTTTCTTCCATATTTCATACACACATACCCACGTACCCTTGCCTTCCAAGGCCTGCACACCACCTCTGCTATGCCACTGGCTGCCAAGACTGAGCCAATCATCTTGCCCAGGGCCCATCCCCTCCTGCAGCTGTGCTTGTCTCACCATATTGTGGGCTCTATGGTCACATCGTCTCCTTCCAGCACAAATTCCCTTCCATGTATCCTTGCATTCATTCATCTCTCTAATCTTAGCTCCCTGCCAGCATTGCACACTCAACAGGTGCTCCCTGGCTGTTCCAGGCATCCACTTGGGATTAATCTCCACCCTCACCTGTCATTACTTTAGAAATTCCTAGAAGGCAAGGTTTACATCCAAACAGTAGCCTTGCACTATAACCAGGCTTCAGTAAACACTCGGTGACATGAAACGTTGACTTCCTCTTGTGATGAAGTCTGGACTTCCCATGGTTCTTAGTGATTAAGGAGGGCTGGGCTATTGCATAGTCAAGCTCAGTACTGTCGTTGTGGCTAAGCCAACAACCAATGGCTTCCCACCTGGCCTGCGGTGAAAGCCAAGGTCCTCAACCATGCCTATTAGGCTCTTGGTGATCTTCTGCCCTCACCTCCGTCCCTCACCTCCAACCCCCTACTTGTTATCTCTCTGACATCATCTCCCGCAACTCTTCCTCAGTCTAGTTTTTCAACCTTGACACTCTTGACATCTGGGGCAGGACAGTGCTTTTCAGGAGGTGCAAGCTGCCCTGCACATCACAGAACGCTGAACAGCACCCCTGCCTTCCACTCGCCAGATGCTCTCCAGTGTCCACAAGATGTCCCACGTGGGGCGAGGAGGGAGGGCAGAATGCTCCAGGCGAGGACCGTTGGTCTACAGCTCTCCATTTCAGCTGCGTTGCGCTCCATGCTATTCTTTTTTTCCTTTTTTTTTTTTTTTTTTTTTTTCAGGCAGAGTGGAGAGTGAGAGAGAGAAAGAGAGAGAGAGAGAGAGAGAGAGAGAGAGAGAGAGAGAGAAAGGTCTTCCTTTGCCGTTGGTTCACCCTACGATGGCCGCTGCGGCCGGCGCACTGCACTGATCTGAAGCCAGGAGCCAGGTGCTTCTCCTGATCTCCCATGGGGTGCAGGGCCCAAGCACTTGGGCCATCCTCCACTGCACTCCCGGGCCACAGCAGAGAGCTGGCCTGGAAGAGGGACAACCGGGACAGGATCTGGCGCCCTGACCGGGACTAGAACCCGGTGTGCCGGCGCCGCAAGGCAGAGGATTAGCCTAGTGAGCCATGGCACCGGCCGCTCCATGCTATTCTGATAGCTCCCCCCTCCAGGTCTTTGTTGTACTTGCTTTTCTTTCCTGGCCTGGATATCTGAATGGCTCTCTTGCACTTCCTCCAGCTCTATTCAAATGTCACTTGCTCAACAGGACTTCCCCAATCACCCCATTTGAAATTACCACCCCCAATCACCCCTGAAACCCTTCCTTGCTTGCATTTTCTCCTTGGCATTGATCATTCTTCAGCATACCACAAGCCTCATTCACTCTTGATGTCTGTCTGCCCCATTTGAGGAGGAGATTTGGTGTTTGATGTGTTGTTTCGACTTAGTTTGGCCCACTGCTGTCTCCTGACTCAGAACAAAGACTGACACACAACGGGCGCGCAATGTTCAAAGGATGAGTGGGACAGCTCTAACGGCTTCCCACCTCAGAAGCTCCTGGGTCAAGGACGAAGACAAACCAGTGTCACTTCTCCAGCCCATGGTACAAGGTTGGTGGGAGGAAGGCTGGATTCTCTGCTGGCCCATTAAGCTCTTTACCTCCTGCCATACCTGGGTTTTCTTTCATTACTCATCTTGAGAGAAGAATGGAACATCACATGGGAAGACTACTCACAAGCAGCCATTCTGCCTTTGTATGTATCATAAGAAAACATGGGGGCCGGCGCCGCGGCTCACTAGGCAAAAAGGAAGACCTTTCTCTTTCTCTCTCTCTCTCACTGTCCACTCTGCCTGTAAAAAAAAAAAAAAAAAAATGTGTAGCCTATGGTGACAGATGCATAGATACACATTTATGAATCAATTTCTTTTTACCTACACAGTTGACCTTTTCAGGGCACTTACCGAATGTCAGGCACTGTGCTCAGTATACAGATCCCCACACTAATCACCCCTAGTTACTCTCTGGGCTTGTTTCAATATCATCATTCCACTTGTGCAGCTGAGCCACTCTTGCATCTGATTCAGAGTCTCACGTCTGAGTGCAAAACCAGGCAAGATGGTCTGACTCCAATAGCCCCCTTATTCCTGACCATCACAATAACTGCCTCTCTCAAAAGATATGCCCCTGGGGCTGGTGCTGAAGTGTAGAGGGTAAAGCTGCCACCTGCAGTGCCAGCATCCCTTATGGGTACCTGTTTGCATCTCAGCTGCTCCACTTCCAATCCAGCTTTCTGCTGTGACTTGGGCTCCTGCACCCACATGGGAGACCCACAAGAAGCTTCTAGCTCCTGGCTTCGGACCAGCCCAGCTCTGGCTGTTGCTGCTATTTGGGCAGTGAACCGGCAGATGGAAGATATCTCTCTCTCTCTCTCTCTGCCTCTCTGTAACTCTGTAACTCTGCCTTTCACATAAACAAATAAATCTTTAAAAAAAAAAAAAATGCTTGCTGGCGCCGTGGCTCACTAGGCTAATCCTCTGCCTGTGGCACCGGCACACCGGGTTCTAGTTCTGGTCGGGGCGCCAGATTCTGTCCCAGTGGCTCCTCTTCCAGTCCAGCTCTCTGCTGTGGCCCGGGAGGACAGTGGAGGATGGCCCAAGTGCTTGGGCCCTGCACCCGCATGGGAGACCAGGAGGAAGCACCTGGCTCCTGGCTTTGGATCGGCGCAGTGCGCCGGCCACAATGCACCAGCCGTAGTGGCCTGGTAGGAAGACCTTTCTCTCTGTCTCTCTCACTGTCTAACTCTGCCTGTCAAAAAAAAAAAAAAAAAAGATATGCTCCTAAGTCAAATCATAAAGAAAGAAACAGGGGAAATAGGGAGAGTATCTCTTCTTCCAACAGGAATTGCTTTTAGCTGGTAACACTTGAATGCCAGCAGGATTTTTCAAACCAGTAAAATGTATATAAGTATGTAAAAAGAAAGTATATGAGTATATATAAACACAGACACACCTATGTAGCTAAGTTGAGTGGGTTTTAAATTTTTTTATTGATTATATTGATTTGAGACAGAGAGAAAAAGAATATTCATACCTGCTGGTTCACAGTGCTGGCCAGACCTGTGCCCGTCCAAAGCCAGGAACCAGGAACTCAATCTGGGTATTCCAAGTGGGTGGCAGGGACCCAAGTACTTGAGCCATTACCTGCTATCTCATAGGGTATGCATTAGCAGGAAGGTAGAATCAAGCATAGAGCTGGATATGAAAGAATTGTTTGTACTCCCACGTTTATTGCAGCTTAATTCACAATCACTAAGATATGAAATCAACCGAGATATCCATCAACAGATGACTGAATTAAGAAAATGTAGTACATATACACTGTGGAATACTACTCAGCCATTAAAAAGAATGAAATCCTATCTTTTGCAACAAAATGAATGCAACTGGAAACCATTATGCTTAGTGAAATAAACCAGTCCCAAAAAGAAAAAAATATATATTTTCTCTGATATGTGGCAATTAAAACAGAATACAAAAAATGCATAGGAATGAAATAGACATTTAGTGATTTGGTTGTTGTTTTTCCCTTGTTTACACTCCTGTGGATCTGTGGTCCCTCTACTTTCTACTTGCTGGATATTACGGTTAGTGGTGCAGTAAGCCTGTGATTATATAGCAGATTGCAATTATAGTTTCTGCAAAAATTAAAAAAGGAAGGAGGGCAATTGAGAGAGGGAGAGAAGTAAATAGGATTATCTTCTTAGAATTCTATGAAATACATGAAATCTGTTCTCTTTATATTAATAAAAATTCATAAAAATTACATTAAAATTACCAAAAAAGAGTGGAGCTGGGATTCAAACCAGGCACTCTAATGTAGGCTGTGGTGCTCCCAGGAGGTGCTTAACTGGCAAGCACTCTCCTCTAAGTAGGTGTTGTTTGCCTACAATAACAGAGTCAGACTTTTTGTTCCACTTAGTTTTTTTCACTGGTAATAAATTTTGAACCTGACTTTTTTTTTCTTTCTCAAGATTTATTTATTTATTTGTAGGCAGAGAAAGAGAGAGAGAGAGAGAGAGAGATCTTATATCCACTGGTCTACTCTCCAAATGGCTGCAATGGCCAGAGCTGGGCCAGGCCAAAGCTAGGAGCCAGGAGCTTCTTCCAGGTCTCCCACGTGGGTACAGAGGCCCAAGCATGTGGACCATCTTTTCCTGCTTTCCCAGATGCATTAGCAGGGACCTGGATTGGAAGCAGAGAAGCCAGGACACAAAATAATGCCTATGTGGGATACTGGCACTGCAGGCAGTGGCTTTACCTGCTATGCCACAGCGCTGGCCCTGAACCTGACCTTTATTTATTTATTTTTTAAAGCTTTTATTTAATGAATGCATTTTTCATAGGTACAATTTTAGGAATATAGTGGTTCTTTCCCCCATACCCAGCCTCCCACCCCGACTCCCGTCCCACCTCCTACTCCCTCTCCCATCCCCTTCTTCATTATGGTTCATTTTTAGTTTTATATACAGAGGACCAAATCCATGTTAAGTACATATTTCAACAGTTTGCACCCACACACACACACACAACATATAGAGTACCGTTTAATAACAAGTTTTGCAGTTACTTCTCATAGTACAACTCATTAAGGACGGAAGTCCTACATGGGGAGTAAGTACACAGTGACTTCTGTTTGAACCTGACCTTTAAATCACAATGAATTGACACCTCCTTTATCAAAAGTTTCAGGATGACATCTGGCTGTTGGGGCTCAGGATGAAGAGAGACAATGAACATGAATCTCAAGCCGGGATGACAAACTGGGTAAGCGATGTGCTGGAAGGGCTTGGCTCACTTGTTCCAGAGCTGCCTCCGGAAGGGGCGTCTGCTTGTGGTTATATCTGCTTTTCTGCTTAGGTGGCTTCAGGGTACCAGCCCACTGGCTGATACATGAAAAGGTTTCCCTACCTGGATCAGAACTTTTCAAAGTAAAGCTCTCCCAGCAGCTGCAGCTAACTCTAGACACTAATCTGAAGGTGCTAATAGGCTTCCATCCTTAGGATCCTTCAGGACTGGCCATGACTAATGGCTCAATTTTCAGGCAAAGCTACTGTGTGAAGTGCCAAACTCATGGGAGTTTGCACAACCCTATCAGGCTGGTCTCACTGCCCCCGTCTTACAGGTGAGACACAGACACTCAGAGATGTTAAGAACTTGCTCAGGGTCACGCAACTAGTCCGGGTAAGAGCTGTGTCTTCCTTACAAAAGCCTTGAGAAATCACAGCAGAAGGTTAGTGTTACTGGCCATCTTGCAAAACCAGCCCCTTATTCCATACACATGAAGCACAGAGACCCAGTGCTCTGACGAGTCTGGCTGTAGGCCACACAGCAGGTGTAAGGAACTGGCTGATGCTCCAGTTTGTGTGTGTGTGTGTGTGTGTGTTTTTCCCAAGGAGACATTTGCTATAAAACACCCCCCAGGGAAGGAACTGAAGGAAATGGAGTCAGGGCTGTATCCTGGAGCCCCACGGGCATCACGTTGGAGTAACTGTCTCCCTGAAGAGGATGTGCTACAGCTAAATAGAATTAAGCTGCATGTCAGTATGAGGGTGGGAACCCTAATCTGAAACTTCCTCCCTACAGAAAAGCCTTGGACGTGCCCCCCGCAGGGTGGGGTGTGGAGATAGCACTGCAGCCACAGCTGGACAAATTGATCTTGCAAATGGACCCCTCGTGATTTTCTTTATTTGTATAATGATTTTATTAGCCATCAGGGACCATTTCGGAATGTGGAGCCTCTGATTAAACTCCCCCACCTCCTACTCTGCCCAAGCCACAAGTACAGCCACCTATGAATCATTTTTTATCCTGTTCTCTTTTATGGAAAACACACAAAACCGTCTGCCTGAATGTGTGAGCAAGCCTGCTCCTTCCTGGACTGATGGTACCTTGGGTGAGGCTCAGTCTTCAAATCTGACCCGTCAGAGTCATTCCATCCTCTCAGGGGTTTTGTATGGAAGAAATGAGACTCATTACGGGAAGCACCCAGCTCTGAGCCTAGGAAACAGCACCCAAACATGTGACAGCTATTATTTTTTTTTTAAGATTTATTTTATTTATTTGACAGGCAGAGTTACAGAGAGAGGTAGAGACAGAGAGAGAGGTCTTCCATCCGCTGGTTCACTCCCCAGTTGGCTGCAATGGCCAGAGCTGAGCTGATCTGAAGCCAGGAGCCAGGAGCTTCCTCCAGGTCTCCCACGTGGGTGCAGGGTCCCAAGGACTTGGGCCATCTTGTACTGCTTTCCCAGGCCATAGCAGAGAGCTGGATCAGAAGAGGAGCAGCGGGGACTAGAACCTGCGCCCATATGGGATGCCGGCGCTTCAGGTCAGGGCGTTAACCCGCTGAGCCACAGCGCCAGCCCCAGCTATTTTTTTTTTTTTTAAGATCTATTTATTTATTTGAAAAGCAGAGGCAGAGAGTGGTCTTCCATCTGCTTGGTCACTCCCCAGCTGGCCACAATGGCTAAAGCTGAGCTCATCTGAAGCCAGGAGCAAGGAGTTTCTCGTAGGTCTCCCATGAGAGTACAGGAGCCCAAGCACTTGGACCATCTTCTACTGCTTTCCCAGGCCACAGCAGAGAGCTGGATCTGACATGGAGCAGCCAGGACTTGAACCGGCATCCACATGGGATGCTGGCACTGCAGGCGGCGGCTTTACCAGCTATGCCATAGTGCCAGCCCCAGCTATTTTGTACCCTGCCTTTCTCTCAGTGTTGCAGCATAACTAATGCATGTTTCCGAGTCTTTGAAGACATCACATTTAAGGGCTGCCATACATTTGAGCTTTCGCACCATTCTCTTAGGAGGAATGTTTTGGCTGCTTCCATTTTTACCTTGTTATTAATAGCTCCATGGTGCACACTGTTGTGAAGGCAGCTTTACCTCCCGCGTATTTCAGAGCTTTTCCTTAAGATCATTTCTCAGAAGTGGAATCACTAGGCCAAAGGGTAAGAAACATTTTTAGGCTTCACGTCCCTCTTGCCTGATCGCACAAAGCAGATGCTGGTTCCTCTACCCACCTCCCCCACGTTCCGACTATTCCCAGAACTTCCCTGCCTCCCCCGAGGTGGTCTTCTCCTCCTCCCAGGGATGACACCTGGCTTCCTCCCCTCTCCCACTCTCCCCTCTGCTTTAGCACACAGCCCTTGCCCCTTCGGCTGCTGGAGGGAACCCTCCCTGCTCCCAGCCTTTCCTGAGGTCCGGGTCTGCTTGTCTGTCCTTCCTCACTCCGCAGGGGCCACTAAGACTGGGCGCAAGTGTCATGTTTTACTCATTGGCCAAAACGTCCCCTGACTGCTAGACCTGTGGCTGACGAATTGTGGCCCTTGATCCTGCAGACTGCTTTTCTGGAGTCTTACCTGGAGTCTAAGGCCTTAATTTTCTTCTCCTGTCTCCTGAAAAGCCAGCTGCTCTCATGTCTCAGCAAGCACTGAATTCCATTCCACCAACACCAGGGAGCTCCTGCCATCAAGGGTGTTGTGAGGGAGACACAGATGGTCTGATAAGGCCCCGAGTGGCCTGGGAGCCTCAGGCTGCTGGCAGAACAGAAAGCACTGGGGGCCAGGCTGGGGGAGGGGAAACAGCTCGAGCATGAGAACCCCCAGAAGGGTGACTGTCTCACACGCTGAGGGTCTAAAGGGTGGAAGGGGAGAGACAAGGTTAGAGGTTAGAGGTTGGAGGTGGGTTATGACCAATTGGTCGGAATGAGGACATCCGTGCTACACTAGGGAATCTGGATTTTATCAAGGTAGTGCGTCGGCGGCACTCTGACAGCGCAGTGGGCTGTATGCTCAGATTTGTGCTCACGAAGATCACATCACAGAGCATGACTGCGCAAGGACAGGGCTCAGAGACGGAGAATCAGAAGCTTTGCACAGCCCAGCCGGGGCGGGACCATGGGATCCCCATTTTAAACAGTCATGGGCAGAACCAGCTCCATAATTTGTGAGGCCCTGTGCAAAGGCAAAATGAAGGGTCTGTCGTCTAAAGATGATTAAGAATTTCCCATAGTGGCAACAGAGCATTAAAATAAGGGGGGGGGTTGCTAAGTGCAGGGCCCCCAGCAATTGCACAGGTCATACTCTCACAAGGCCAGCCCCGGCCACAGGACTGGAAAGTACAGGTCAGATCTGGAGAGCAGAGTCGCTGGACTTGGTGACCTGTTGCACGCAGGCAGTGTGGGAGCAATCCAGCAATGCTACTGACCAATGGTCTCCCTTCACGGGTCACAGGGCACCCTACTGCTTGACGGGTACCCCTTAAGGTGCCCATGATTAATTCTCACTTATCAATATGTCCAAATTGCTCTTCCTGCCAATTCCTGCCCCAACCTGTCCCTCTACGGTCCCCATGTGAAGGTGTACCACCACTCAGTCACTCCAGGTACAAACTCCTGTGTCATCTCTGCTCCCTTCTTCCCATCCAATCCTTCTGGCAGTTTGCTTCCTAAGTGTTCTCCCATCTGCGTGGTCTCATCATAGCAAATTCCAGCAGGTTCCTAGCAGCTGAGGCCTACATTACAGTTGACTCTGGAATAGAGCTCCCTCTCCTGAATAAAACACCCATTTTCTGCAGTGTTGATCCAGTGATACACCAAATGCTCAGATGAGCAGATCACAGAACAGATCACCAAAGGGTGAAGACCCCTTGGCCTGAAAGAACACACAGAGGGGATGGCGTTGTGGCACACTAAGTTAAGCCACCACTTGTGATGCTGGTGTCCCCCACCAGAGTTCAGTTCCAGTCCTGGCTGCTCCACTTCCAATCCAGCTTCCTGCTAATGTGGTGAGAGATGGCCCAAGTGCCTGGATCCCTGCCACTCATACGGGACAGCTGATGCAGTTCTCAGCTCCTGACTTCAGCCTGGCCAGGACCCAGTTGTTGTGGCTATTTGGGGAGTAACCCAGTGGATGGAAGATCTCAATCTGTCACTCTGCCTTTCAATAGGTACATAAATCCTTTTTTAAAAATTTTTTTGACAGGCAGATTGGACAGTGAGGGAGAGAGAGAAAAGTCTTCCCTTTTCCGTTGGTTCACTCCCCAATGGCCACTGTGGCCGGCGCACCGCGCTGATCTGAAGGCAGGAGCCAGGTGCAGGGCCCAAGCACCTGGGCCATCCTCCACTGCACTCCTGGGACACAGCAGAGAGCTGGCCTGGAAGAGGGGCAACCGGGACAGAATCCGGCGCCCCGACCGGGACTAGAATGCAGTATGCCGGCGCTGCAGGCAGAGGATTAGCCCATTGAGCCGCGCCGGCCCATAAATCCTTTTTTTTTTTTTTTTTTTTTTTAAGGAATTAGAAAATAAAAGTCACATAGGGCCCTCTGCCAACTGTTCCTGCTGAATTTTGAAATGAATGTTAGGAGGGCTGCGGGCTCCCACACACCTCTAGCACACACCATGCTGGTTCTGTTCTCCCCACCCCTTCCCCTTCTCTTCTCTTTCCCCTCTTTACCTCACCGTTTCCCCTGCCTGGAATGCCCACTCCCTCCCCTTCCTGGCCTAGCTAACCTCTGTTCACCTCCGCCCCTGCCCCCACCCCCACCCCCACCCCCAGGTGCTCCTCTGCCCACGTGGAAGCCCAGCATCAGGGCTGGAATGTCTGGGGGTGGATAGTGCTGGCAACAGAGCACACCAGAGAAGCAGCAGGTGGCACCGATGACCCCAAGGGAAGGAAGACCCCCACATCCTGTCCTCATCAAGACCCCACTGGGAGGGGAAGGACTGAATGCAGCTGGTTATCCTGGTGCTGGGTGATTACATTTGACTTCAAAATTCGATTTCCACTTCCTCCTAAAGCTTCGTTTTCTTGTGTCAGCTGTACAGGAGCCCGTGGATGATGGAGGCAGGCCGTTTTCCACCAGGCAGCCCCAGGCAGCCTAACAACAAAATGCCTGCCAGCCACACGGGGGCAGAGGCCTGTCCCCTCCATCCCATTGTTCCTGCGGCTCGCGGAGTGCTGGCACACAGCTGTCCCTCCCTGGATGCTGGCAGCAGGGGCGTAGGAAGCCCGAAGCTCCTGGGGACTGGTGGGAGCGCACAGCCCGGGATTACCCTTGATCCACGGATTATCCCCAAATCCAGAAGCCGCCTGGACAGCAGTTGGTCGGCCAGAGCTCCCTTCTTGGGATCCAAGTTGATGCCGCTGCTGAATTCACAGCAGGTTTCCCAGGGACCAGTGGTTCTTCCAAAACCAACCCATTATTCTCATCATGACCGGACAGGCATAGAGAAAAGGACTGATCATCGGCGGGCAGAGTCCACCCGAAAGGATTAACTGCGGGCACTGCTCCCCCCACTTTTAGGAATTTTTTATGTGGAAAATTTCAAACATACAGAAAAACGCGTAGGACAGCCCACCTCTTTGAGGCAAACTTCGGCACCACCTCCCTGCGCGGAGAGACCACGATGGTGCCGGGAATCCGCATCGGACTCATCCAGGGGCACCGGCTGGCCGCCCTGTCCTAGCCCTGCACAGCAGGTGCCCAGCCCCCCAGCTTCGAAGCGGACCGCCGGACTTCGCGGCGCCGGCCGGCCGGCCGCCGCCTCTGCTTCCGCCGCTTCCCGCACAGAGTGGGTCACCTCAGCGCGGTGGCGTTCCCGACCCCCGCACCCGCAGCCCGGGTGATGCGCGAGTGAGTCCCTCGGCGCAGGGCCACGGAGAGCACGGGGCGGCGCCCGCCACTTCCTCCTCTGGAGCTGACTAACGCCCCGCCGCCCGCCCAGCGCGTCCCGCTCCCGACGCTCCGCCCCAAGGGGCGTGACCACACCCATATTTGGCCTTATATGGGCAGCCACGTCACAGGCCGCGCGCTCATTCACATAAAACGCCGCGCTGCCGGCGGAATCCCCGGCTTCTGAGGCGGCTAGCGGCCGGGCTGGGCGCCGATCGCGCGGGGCGGGAAGGGAGCGCTGAGCCGCCCCTCAGGCGCCGGGCTCCGTCGGCCAGGCCGCAACCCCCGCCCCGAGTGCGTCTCTCGTGCCTCGCCCGCGGGCATCCTGGCCGTGGGCACCTGCGGCGTGGGGCCGCTGCGCGGCGGCATGAAGGTCACATCCCTCGACGGGCGCCAGCTGCGCAAGATGCTCCGCAAGGAGGCGGCGGCGCGCTGCGTGGTGCTCGACTGTCGGCCCTACCTGGCCTTCGCCGCGTCGAGCGTGCGCGGCTCGCTCAACGTCAACCTGAACTCGGTGGTGCTGCGGCGGGCGCGGGGCGGCGCGGTGTCGGCGCGCTACGTGCTGCCCGACGAGGCGGCGCGCGCGCGGCTGCTGCAGGAGGGCGGCGGCGGGGTGGCGGCCGTGGTGGTGCTCGACCAGGGCAGCCGCCACTGGCAGAAGCTGCGTGAGGAGAGCGCCGCCCGCGTCGTGCTCACCTCGCTGCTCGCCTGCTTGCCAGCCGGCCCGCGAGTCTACTTCCTCAAAGGTGAGCGCGGCGGCCGGGCCCCTCCGCCCGCCCGCCCGCGGCCCCGGGTCGGGGTGTGTGTGTGGGGGGGGTCCCGTCTCGCGCGCTGGGGGTCCCGTCTCGCGCGCTGAAGGCCCCCAGGAGGGAGTCCGCCTCCCGCGCACTTGCGCGCTGGACGTGCGCCGGGAAGGGCACCCAGGTGGCGGCGCTCGGCGCTTCCCCGGCTCCCGGCCCGCGTTCCTCGAAAGCGCCTGGCAGCCCTGGGTCTGCCCGCCGGGGCTGCGGGGCGCGCTGCTGTCTGGCGGCTTCGGGGCCGCAGGCTCGTGCCGGGCGCCCGCCCCGACTCCAGGCGCGGACTTGTTTGCTTTCGCGGGGCGGGGGGCAGGGCTGGAAGTTTTCCCAGGCGATCTGGCGGAGTGCGCAGGTCGCGACCGCTGCCCCGAGAGTGGCCCCGCGGTGCCCCTTCCGCCCAGTCACTGACCATTGCGCCCCTCTTGCCTTTTCGACCCTGGCTGGCGAGAACCTCCCCTTCCTTTCCATGTCTCTTTATTGCTTTTTATTGCTTTCCGCCTCCCCCTTTCCCCCTCCTAGGGCTTTCTCGGCCTCGGTCTGGAGCTGTCAGCCTTCCCACCCTTTTTTTCCGCCTCCCTTGGGATTAGCCCTGGGCCAGCCCTGAGCCGGGACCTGGGCTGGGCGCCGCGGGGGCAGGGTGGTGTGCGGGCTGAACCGCTGCCGGAGCTCTGACATCTCTCAGCGCTGCCACCAGGCCTGCACTTTTCACCTGCCGGGGAGATAACTTTGGCTTCCGGTTGTGGGTGGGTGACTGACTCTCAAACTCCGGAGCATTGATTTTCTGGGTCACTTCCTTTGGCTGCTCCTGCTTTGTGTTTGAGTTCTTTGAAGCCTCGAATGTGTTGCAGTCCTGCGCTGCTGCAGACGTGAGGGCTTAACCCCTGCCAACCCGGTTTTGGAGTCCGAGGGCTGGAGCAGTGCTGTGGTTCAGGGAGCTGGGAGAATTGGGATCCTATTTTAAAGCTGGGCAACTTGGGGAATTTTACACTTCCCAGGCCGGGAATATTCCTGAGGCACGTGGGTGGCTCCCTCCTCTATTAGCACCTCTTGCCCCCTGTCTCTTGTTGATTCCTGTGGAGGAAATGACAGAAGTAGATGCTAATCTCCCTTCTCTCCCCAGGGGATGGTGGGATGGCCTCCTCCAAGCCCTTAGGAGATTTTGCGCATGGCTCCCGATTTCTTCTCTTCCTGCTGTGGTTTTTGTCTCCTTAGCAAAGAGGACAGGAAAAGCTTTCCCTCCCCCAGTTCATGAAAGATAAATTCCAGGAAACCCTTCCCGGCCCTGCCTCTGCTCCCTGCCACTTTCCAAGGGAGCCAGGCTGACAATTTAGAAAATACTGCACAGAAAGTGGCACGAAGAATATAAAACGAAAAATGAGTGTTCTGCACACTGTAGAACCCAGTTCTACTCCCCAGAGATAGCCACCAACTATTTCTTGTTGTATTTAGATAGATTTTTGCAAGTATCTTTAAGAAATTAGTGTGTGTTTGTTTTGTATATTCTCTATTCCTGCCCTGTAATCATCTAGATCGTGGAGACTTATCCATAGCAGGACTTGTGCAAGTACTTTGAAAAGTTCATGGAAAAGCAGAATTAAAAGTGAAATTTATTTTGTTGTAAAACATGTTTGAAATCTATACATAGTCTTTTCATAATATGCATTTCCATGAGTTTTTTGAAGGCATGTTTGGTGTGTATAACCAGCTCTCTGGTGGTGACCGTTAACATTGCTTCCAGCCTCGCTGTGGGAAACACTGGGTAGAGCATGGCTTTGTCTGTATGCTCATGTGTGTGCGTTGGCTTTCAGTAAAACCAAGAGAATTGCCAGGTCAATGTTAGGTGCACTCTAGGCTTCAGTAGAAGTTACTTGCCATCTACCCTTATAACACTAAGAAACTTTAAGCTGTTGCTAGAGGAAATTTTTTTTCTTTGATTGATTGAATGATTTAAAAGGCAGTTAGAGAGGGAGAAATCTTCCATCCACTGGTTCACTCCCCAGATGACTGGGACAGGGCCAGCCAGAAGCCAGGAACCAGGATCCTCATCTGGATCTCCCCTGTTGGTGGCAGGGTCCCAAGGACTTGGGCCATCTTCCCCTGCTTTGCCAGTCAGATTAAAGGGAGCTGGTTCGGAAGTGGAATAGCCTGGACTGGAACCTGTGCTCATTGCAGGTGACAGCTTAACCCGCTGCACCCCAGTGCTGGCCCTTCGCGAGGAAGTTTTTATTTCTCTACCTAACTCTTGTCCAGGTACGAGCCAGGTTTTAATCTAGAGGCATCCCAGATCTTGGGGGGGGGGGGCAGTGCCTTTTATACTTCTCATAATCGCCCCCCCCCCCCAACAAAAAAGCCTGACCCACTAAGATGAGAGTGACGAGTCCTGTGGCCTTGCTTGTTTGTATATAGTGCCCCTGCACCGTCTGTCCCCCATCGCCGGAAGGCAGTGGTGATCGAAAGCAGACTTGGAAGAAGGCTGAAAGGTTCAGCAGGCTCTGGACGCATGTGAGACACCAGAGAGGAATGTTCTGTGTCTCTACATATCTGACGGGAGTGCTGAGAGACCATCTAATCTGGAGAACTCCTGACCCCAGCTAGGAGAGGCAGGGCCCTGTTTATCTGTCCCTCGACTACAGTGAGACTCTTTGTCTGCCTGCCTTATTATTGTCGGCAGGCAGGCACGAGCCAGCCTTGTCCAGCCCACACACGCACCTCCTGCCTGTCCTGACAGCCGATGGAGTGGTCTGAAGACTCGTCTTCCTAAGCAGCATCCTGGAATCTTGGGGGCCCCTTACCCCAAAGTCCCATCCAAAATCCCTCCCCTCTGCTGGAACCTGAACAGGCCAGGTTCCTGAGGCAGTGATGGGGTAGCCTAAGAGCACCTGCTTGGAGGCCTGGGCCAGGGCTGTGAGGCTGGGGAGGGAGGGACTCCACCTCCATCCTCCCCCACAGGGGCCCTGTCATCAGGCCCCTGGGGCACCAGAAGCCCATCCTGGGAAGGTGAGGGAGGCCTGCTGGGGAGGGGGGGAGATCTGGGTGTACTAAATGGGGGCGGGGGCAGTGGCAGCAAGCTGAGAGGAAGCGGCAATGGCAAGATGACTCATTCTAGGAATTGGCTGCAGCTTCTGGGGGAGGGAGCTGGAGCCTGCCGGGTAATCCATTAACCATTTGTTGACTGCAGGGGTTTGCAAAAGCCCACATGACCTCTCACATCAAAAGGCAGAGAGGGAAAGGGGGGGGGGGGCTCTGGGGAGGCTAGATGGTCTCATGATGCATTGTTTGACACCCAGTGAATTTCTCTGGGCCAAAACAGACATAAGTGGGTTTTCTTCTGGAGGCTTTGGGAAATGCCTGGGATTGCTCTGCATTAGAAGAAAAAGGCTTCTCACATGGGCAGGACTGGCCTGTTCACCGGGCAGCCCGTGCCCTTGTAGGGTCTCTGGCCCAGTTTCCTTCTATTTCGTTCTTCCACACTGAGGATAATGGGCCTGAGAAG